TATTGCTTTCAAATACACTAATATAATCAATGTTAAAGTCAGAATTATCTTCAAAGAAATCTTTCTTTACTTGTACAAATCCAGCTTCTCCCCCTTCATTCTTCAGTATAGTAAATGGAACCTCATTGTTATTAGATGGAAGTAGACGACTAGAAAGAGGAATCCATTTAGCCTCATGGGGGACACCACTTCTACCAACATACAACACATTTGGACCAAGTCCAGTGTTGTCATTATTTGGACCATGGGCAATTATTGCTACCGTAGACCCATCAGTTGATGTTGTTGCTACCTGTCTATCATACCACTCTATCAAATTTAATGTATCCATATTTCTCGTTTCACAAGAACCTCTGTAGACATTTCCGCAGGTTATCAATTGGCTATTATCTGTATCAATGATTAGAATCTTATTGATATTATTTGTTGACACAAGCGTAGAATCACACTGCACAAAATCTGGAGGTATACAATCAGGGTTGTCATCTCTTGGTCCCGTTGCCTCAATCTCTTCTGTCTCCAAATCACTGGTCAATTTATAAAGTCTATTTACAGATCCCACATACAAACGACCATTAATAGAATCCAAAACCATCCTTGTCAGCCTTATATCATTGTTACTTGGATCGTTTGTCTCAGTAAAGGTGGAGAAATCTTGACCATGGCTCGTCAAAGTTAGGTGAAGCACAAATAATAGAAGCAAGAAGCGCCTCATTTTCACGGACATTTTATTGGTCACACACTTGAGAGTTGTAAACAAACCCTGGTCCTGCTAATAAATGGACAGACACATGAATTGTGAAGTCAAGTCAATGAAATATTAAAGATTCCTAATGTTAGTTATCGTTAATAACTCTGTACACTAACTCTAGAATTGGGACCTATATAAACTCATTTCATAATGTATCGTTAATAACTTCATGAAATAACTCGAGAACTGGGGATCTATATAAACTCATTCCATAACTTATCATCAATAACTCTATACAATAACTCTAGAATTGGGACCTATATAAACTCATTTCATAATTTATCGTTAATAACTTTATACAATAACTCTAGAATTGGGACCTATATAAACTCATTTCATAACTTCTCATTAATAACGTTATACAATAACTCTAGAATTGGGACCTATATAAACTCATTTCATAACTTATCATTAATAACTTTATACAATAACTCTAGAATTGGGACCTATATAAATTAATTTCATAATTTATCATTAATAACTTTATAAAATAACTCTAGAATTGGGACATATATAAACTCATTTCATAATTTATCGTTAATAACTGTATACAATAACTCTAGAATTGGGACATATATAAACTCATTTCATAATGTAACCTCAATAACTCTATACAATAACTCTAGAATTCGGACCTATATGAACACATTTCATAATTTATCTTTAATAAGTCTACACAATAAATATAGAATT